TTTCATCCATTACATAAATCTTCAGAGGTCTATTGTACTCCCAATTCTATCTTTTCAAGGAGATAGCTGGACTGATTTTTTTCTCAAGCCTCACTCTTCCACACAAGGATTTTCTTTTGTTTAAAAATAATAAATATTGTATACATGAATGCATTATTGAGGCTTACTTACCCCACACTTTAGAATCCTTCTATGTGTCCCACTGAATAATAACATTGCAAAGTTGGTTAGATGGGGAAAACCTGTCAGTTCCCCAGAATACTATTTTTAATGCAAACATCTTTTAAAAAAGTCTTAAAAAAAAACTTGCCCTTAGACACTTTTTATATATTGTGGAGTACAAGCAATAAGTGAGATCAGCTTTATAATATTTAAAATTTGCCTAATATCTTTATTTTCTATAAATTTCCTTTCCAGGAGATATGTCCTGTATTACTGATTTTTAAAATTGTTCCATTAAGGTATAATACTCCTGTAAGGTAGGGGAGAAATATTTGGGACTTGTCAGTTAAATACAACAAAATACAAAAAAAAAAGTATATTCTCTCAACTATTTCCTTGTGATTGGAACCAAGAAGAGATCAGTGATAGCACTATAGAAAGTCAAAAGTGAAGCATGGAGTCAAACAGACCTAAGTCTGTATGTAGCTCCAACACTTACGAACTTTTTAAGGTTCTATAAGTACTTTAAATTCTTGAGCCTGACCATCATCAACTATAAAAATAGAGCTAATATTTTTCTCGTAGGTAAATTTTAAAGCTTGAAAGAAATTATGTAGATAAAACATTTTATATGGTACTTAGCCCATAGTAAATAATTTATAAGTAGCAATGATTGTTTTGATATATTTTAGCATAGCTTGGTAAGGTAAGAGTTCTATTTTTATAGTAGTTAATAAAAATATATTTAGATCAATCAGAGGTCAACTTGAGAAGTCCAATCAAGATATTTTAGTATCTAGTTGCAGGATAATTTAGTACTTTTTACTTTTGGTCACACTATTTGCCTATTCTGAAGGAATACTTTCTCTTAAGTTCCACAAATTCTGGCTAAATAAGAAAAAATACGGACAGTTGAGGAAATGATGAATGTGTGTTTATAAGAATCTGCCTGACAGATAAATATTTCATATTCTCCATGATTTTTATATATTTTTTTAAAATTTAGCCTAGTATGGTGCTTATCATAAGGTAGATATTCATTAATAAATATTTGTTGAATTAAAGAGTATCCATCTTTTTACTGATTTGTACAAGTTCTTCATATATTAAATATACAAACCACTTGTCAGTTTTATACATTGTGAATATTTCTCCAATTTTTCATTTATCTTATAATACTGTGTTTTTCTAATACTTTCATTTGCTCAAATTTATCATATTTCCCTATATTTAAAAAAAGTATTTTATGCTTAAAAATATTTCTTCACCTCCTTACATTTAAAAACCTGTCCATCTGCAGGGAAAAATGTTTTAAGATGATGTCTTTCCCATTTATCTCAGAGACTACTCATATCTTTAGCCCTCACCATTCAAATTAAAGGTTATTCATGGGGTTGGAGTAAATTCCTGTGAATTGTTTATTTCTGGAAAGGCAGAACTAGTAGACATTTCCTAATTTCCAGTACTGGTTCAGAGTTTTCCTATGTTTTATTCCTTTGATTATTTCCATGGGTAACTAGCAAAGCAGAAGTCAGGTATATTGAGGAGGTAAAGTAAAAGGAGAAAGATAAGAGAGTCATCTTATTTGAAAGTTTCCACTCACGCTGAGCCCCAGACTCCCATGTCCACTGGTAATGAGCTTACTGAGTATTGTTTTGCCAGGTACCTTCTAAGCGCTGTGTATGCTTTATCACAACAATTGTGGATATACAGTTTATATTTTATTCCAAATTGGGTTGATATGGTTTTTGTTCCCTTTTTTGATAACCAGAGAAATTAGTGTAAAAGAGTTATGTAACTTGTCCTAGTTTACATAGTCCTTAACAGAGCTGGGATTTTAATTAGGGAGGCTAATTGTGGTACGGGCAGTCTTAACCTTGCAGTGTAAATATCTCAGTCTTAACATGGAAAATCAAAACATTTTAATTCTACCTCAGAAACTATCTTTCCTGATTCTTTCCTATCTCAGTATCATGTCATTCTCCTGCTAAATATTGCACTTGAAAAAATTTGAACACCCAATACAATGCCTGCAAAGCCCTACCAAGTCGAATATCTCTGACCTCATCTTGCACATTACTTTTCCGTTTTTTTTTTAATTCTTATACTCAATGCTAGCCTGAAACACACTAAGCTTATTTCCATTTTAGGACTGTTACGCTAGCTACTCCCTATCCTTTAATGCTCATCCTCGAAAATGTGACTTGGACTTCCCCTTTTTGGTATTTATCATTTTTCTCAAAGCCCACCTCCTCGGTGAAGCTTTTCCTGACTACTCAATTTAAAGTAGCCATGTTATCATTTGCCTGTTTCATCTTAAAACCATCGGTATTTATGACACTATAATATTTTCTTATTTGTTTATTTTCTCTCTCTCCTATCACCTATACACACAGTAAAAGTATAAGTTCCATGAAAGCAGGGCTTTAACTATCTTACTGCAGTGTCCCCACTGCTCAATGTTTCACAAACATATGATGTGAGTATATTTATATACTCAAGAAGTATTTGTTGAGTGCATCAAAGGCTTACTGAAAAGTAGAATGATGTGGTCAAAACTGTGTGTAATAAAATGTATCTAATAGCAGTGTGCAGGAGGGACTGCCATGAAAAAAGGCTTAGTCACCTTGCCTAATTAGGAGGCTATGTAAAATGGAGGGTGATGTTAGAAATAAGAAGAAATATGAGAGGTACTAATGAGTTCAACCAGCAGAATTTTGATACTGACTGAGTTGAAGGGATTCAAGGTCATTTGGAACAAGAAAGCACCATTAATATAAATAAGGAATGCTAGGAGATGACAGATCACACTGGGAAAATTATGAATAGTATTTACAAAAGCAATTTTTAACTTTTAATTTGGGATGCCATTGATATATGGGGTTTGGACTTAGCAGAGAAGTCAGGACCAAAGATAAAGTTATCAGATTGCGTAAGAATTACCAAAGGGGGCATTTAGAATGAGAAAATGACTTAGGGCTAAACTCCTAAATCACCCAATTTTTGGAGACAAACAGAAACAAAGGAGAGGAAAAGAGAGGGAAACCAGGAATATATGGTTTTAGGAAAACAAGAGACATGGATTTCAAGAAGAAAGAGATGATCTGACTATACAGAGGGGGAAGATGATTGACATTGGGTTTGGTAAACAGAGGTTACCTTCTGAAACTCAGGAGGTGATTTCTGAGTAGTGGCGAGACTTAAGTCTCAGATGATTTCTCTTAATAATATAAGGCAAGGAAAAGGGGAATAAATGGCCCTTACTGTGAAGGGATAGTGTTAGAAAAATCAAGTTCCAGTGTTTAAGGAGTATGATCAACTTAGTTGGAATTTATGCAAGATTTGGGTGTATGTACCTAGAGATTACTAAAGAAATGAGGTCAGAGCCATCAGCAGTGAGTGTCAACAACTTTTTCTACAAACTTAGAAAATGAAGACAAGGATATAGATAAAATTAGCTTTGCTTCAGTGGGGGAAAAAATGGCATTTTTTTTAGAATGGAGAAAACCAAAGTCTCTAGACTGAGCAGAAGGAGCCAATGAAACAGTAAAGGAAGATGAAATCGTTATTTAACTTTCTTGCTAGAGCAGGTATACATACGGGAAGATTTGGAAACTATAACATTAATTTTGCTATTTGAAGTTCTTTGCTGACGTTTTTTTAGCTTTTACAACTTCTCCTAGACCTTAACTTATGTGCAATGGTGTTAAGAAGTCTAACTTTGCTTTTTATGGGAGGACTATTTTTAACCAATAGTAATTTAAATTATACACACACACACACATACATACATACATGTATATATGTATATATATGCATAAATGCAATGCCTACCCCATGAAGATGACTTCTTTGCCACTGGGTGTGTTTGAGATGTTGATGGGCCAAGTGTTATAGAAGTTGTGGTTTGAATTCTTACTTTGAGGGAGAGAGTTAAATATGAAGACCTTTCTTTGTATTCCAGTTAAAATCTGGAGTTTTGTGAATACATGACCCTCCACATTACTCTTTTGAGTGTTCTGATTTATAAAATGAGGTTTATAATAGTATTTTTTCATAGGATTGGTTAGAGGAATATTTTATTTTTTATTTGTTTTTTATTTATCAATAACTATTTTTGAAGTCCTGCCATATGCCAGGTTTAAGTAAGTCAATGCTCATGAAAGGTTAATTACATTATAAAAATTCAGTGGATGCTAATTTCTATCAATATGATTGAAAAGTTCCATGTCTCTGCAAAGACAGAAATATAACACAAATAATAGTATGAAGAAAGTAAGGATTACTTTGGTCATTAATTCTAACTTAAATGCTCAAATAGTGCTTCAAAGATTTTCATGGAGTGATAACATTTTAACAAATCACCTTGAGAAAGATACCACCAATTAATTATGTTTAGGGCCCATGACACTATGTGTCATTAATTATGTATAGAACCCATGACTCATATGTATTAGAGAAGCAGTTCCTGAACTCTACCATGAAATGGTCCACTGCAGCCAGTTCAATACTGCAGCTGCTGGAGATAGTACACTCATTGGAGTGACCTACATCTAAGAGTGACTTGAGTTTGCAAGAGCCTCACCACAGGTAAATGCCCTTTCTGTCTTTCATGATCAAGTGCTGAAGGGTTGACTGTAACTGTGCAGCCTGTCATGTGTTTCAGTCATCTGAGAGCTGCTCTCTGCTATCTCATGCATACTTACACCAGAAATCACACTTAAGTTTTCTTTGAGCGCCTAAACTGGCTGCCAGTCAGGGAATCAATACATCTTGTTGCACAGTGTTCAAACCTGCTATTAAGAGAAAAGTAACACTGAAGATGTGTTTCCTTACAGGATAGTGCAGAACTGATCACTTCCCTGCTTCACAGTGGAGCTGACATACAGCAGGTTGGATACAGTGGCCTCACTGCTCTGCATATTGCTACCATAGCTGGTCACCTGGAGGTAAGTCACACCTTGGTCCCCTGAGAAAACAAATTTGCCACTTTGGATTCTCCTTTCCAACTGTTTTCAAATGCTGGCTTTTGAGATCCTAAGAGTTGATTTAATTTTTAACTACTGAATGCGCACATTTCTTTGGGGCATCAAATAAAGCTATACAAATGTCTTTTGGTAGTCAAGTCAGTCTGTTTTGTAACAGTGTAATCAGACATCAATTGATGGACACAGAGACCATATAGCAGTGATTAAGAGCATAGATTCTGGAGACAGGCAGTCCAGTTTCCTCCACTTGCTATGTTTACCTCAAGAAGTTACTGTACCTTCTGATATCTCTGTTTACTCCATTTATAAAATAATAGTAGTAATAAGCCTATTGTATGGTTAAATTAAATAATCCATAGGAAGCACTTTGCAGATTGCTTCAGAGTAAGAACTCAGTGAAAGATTATTCATTCATTCACTCATGCATTATTTGATTTTTTAAGCATCCATTGTGTACCAGTTACTGCATAGTTGCTGAGCTAACAGTAGCAGATAAGATAGGTAAATTTTTTTTTTAGTTTAGTAGACGAGAATAAGACAGACAATAAGGGAAAACTATCATATAATGTCAGTAATGAGTATTACAAAAATAATGAAAGGAGGTAAAATAAAAATAGCAAAAATGGGCACAATTTTAAATAGACTATATAGTAAAACTATGTATAATATATATAACAGCACATGCAAAGGCCCTGAGGCAGAAGATAGCTAAGTGTATTTGAGAGGCATGAGTGAGCCAAAGTCATTAATGTGGTTTGAGCTAGAGGTAGAGTGGTAGAGATGGGGTCAGATGGATGGTTACAAACCAGACTGCAGAGTGCTTTAAAGGCCATGGGAAGGACTCTGGATCTTATCTTAATTTTAAATTGTTGAAATATTAATTTCATATATGTAAAGCACTTTAATTTGTGTTATTTAATTTACTTCACAGATCCTCATGAAATAATTTTTATTATCACTGCCCTTAATAGATATAAAACCAAGGCTCTTGTACATTAATTGTCTTTACAAATTACAAAGTCATTGAGGAAAAAAGGCCACATCTGGAATCCTGGTCATTTTACTCAAAATTCTATGATTTTCACACTCTCTTATACTAACCACATGTAAGCTCAACAGTATAGTAAATGAAAAGTCTTATTAAGTATCTATTTCTCCCTTTTAGTCATGTTGCAAGTTAAATTGTACTTTCTTCACTAACACACATGCACATATACACATATGCACACAACTGTGAACAAGTAAGGCTGCATATGAAATCATACATAAAACCTATAAAACAAGTGTGAATCATCACTTTTAACAGTGTCACTTCAAAGGGCTCTTACATTCAATAAATGTTAACATATCTCAGTGGGAGTGAAATAGTTTCCATCATGTTAACATTTTCACCCTTTACTTTATCATCTTATTTCCCAGAAAATAAATCTTTTTGATGATATTCCTTATAAATATAAGTGAATTTATCTTACTTATGAGGAGAGGAGTTACTAAATGTGTTACTAAATCCTATTAGAATCACTTAAGTATAGATGTTTTCCAAAAAAAGGAACCAACTAAAGTCAGTGATAAAGCAAATGAAAGGTAAACATTAGGAAGTAGAAGAATTGATGAGGTAGATATTAAGTACCAGTGAAACACATTCAATCTCTTAATGCCAGGAAAATCATAGAATGTGTTTTGCAACACTTTTTGTCTAATGCTAAGCTGGTTACATTTGTGAGTGATAGAATCACAGCAGGGCCAAAAACAAGATGGTTAATAGATTGGTCTCTTCATCTCCTGTTCAAATAATGCTTTCTTGCTTTGTAAATCATAGTATGGAAGGAACTATCATATCCATTCTACCAGCCTCAGGGCAAACTTTTCAAAAATAATTCCAACTTGGTCTCTACTCTTGTCTTGCCCTTCTCCATGGGTTCGTTAACATACTTCATTAACTGTGGTGTAACATTTAATGACTTTTGTAGTCAATCATGGATATAGCATAAAACAGGTGCATATCCATTAGCCTTTTTATCTTCTTATCTAATGGACTAATTAAGTTACAGATCAAGCCATAAAGGAAAATGGTATCCAAAAAACCTAGAAACATCATATTCAAAATGCAGATTTTTTCTTTGAATTATTTATTTCAAAGCTATTGATTGCAACAAATATACACTGTTAATATAGTTTTCCATCACATTCATTCATCCATTTAATAAATATTTTTGAGTCTCTCGTTTTTCCATAGTATGTTAGAACATGGAAGTGATACAAGAAAAATGTGACACAGTTTTCCCCACTGAAGGCTTTAGAGTGTAGCTGGACACACAAAATGAATACACAGAAAAATTTATATAACCAATTCACAAGTAAAATAGCAATATATTCCTAAGTATGAAAGAGGAAAGAGTAAAGATCAGAATGGGTTTGATAATTAGGAATAATTAGAAATGTGATAACTACATAGCAAGGAATGGCAAAGAACACAAAATTAGAAGTGTTAGGATTTCACTCAGAATTGAGATCAATGTGAACTAGAAGAGTTAGGGAAGGATTTATAAGAGGTGGTTTGAAATTGGGCTGAAGTTTGAACAGTGGTGAGAACTAGACAGAGAATAGAAGAGAAATCATGTCCAAAAAAGAAAAGGAAAAATTAGCTGAGCACATTTAGGAGAGAGTGAAAGAATAATAGCATGAATCAGATTGTGAAGAGT